GAAAGAAAGAAAGAAAGAAAGAAAGAAAGAAAGAAAGAAAGAAAGAAAGAAAGAAATATAGGATGCAGTCGCGGCTCAAAGGAGACATTGCTATTCCCGGAGTGCAGGATAAAGCAAGCCTGGACCCTGGAGTAGGGGTAGAAAAATCAAGTGCTCTCAAGGAATCACAAGTCCTTGTCTGGTGGAACACAGAGGGCAGAGGCTCCACGGAAGAGGTGGTTGGAAAGGATGAGTCCTGTCCCACCACGGAGGCCTGTGTACAGATGCAGGCGCTGTAATATTTTCATGGAGAGGGAGGAGCCTGACTTAACCAGAAAGGAGAACAGAGTCAGGTGATCTTGAAGCGCCTGGAAAGCAAAGTCCAGAAGAGACTGTAAACCGTCTAAGGTTGTGTGAGCCAGGTGAAAGGGGACGTTTCCGGAGGAAGCTGCTGGAAGGCTGGGTGGAGTGCTGAGGCTTCTGGTGAAGTCATGGATGGTGTCCCAGGCATCAGATACTCCAGGGGGCGGGGTGCATGCCAGGAGATGGAGGAAGGATGACAGAGACCAGTGTTTGGAGGAGGCTGGACTCTATGACCGACTAGACGGGAGGGAGGATTTCAGAAACTATTCCTTTTGAAAAGGCTGGGTGATGTTGTGCTGGGGAGGCAGCGAGTGATCCTTGGGGCTCCCTGGTGGATAGAAGGATGCTTATGCTCCAGTGAGTGGCTCTATACCCGTGCGGCACTGATTGGACTCAGGGAGGGTGAAAAGAAGGCAACAAGTGTGTGTGTGGGGGGGGGATATGGCAGGGAAGGTGGTCTGGAAGGGATGTGAAAGGAATTGGGAGGCCTTCTCTGACCAAAACACGTTGTATGATGGTCTGGAAAGAGCACAGTCCTCAGTCAGAAATGCAAGCAGAGTCAGGAGTGGTGGAGGCAGAAAGATGCAGAATTCAAGGTCATCCTTAGCTACACGTGAATTGAAGACAACCCAAGACTCTGTCTCAAAGGAGTTAGAACATCTGAAGAGTTAGCTGAACACTGGGAAAAGTCTGCCTTAGCGTTCCTGTGCCTTATGTAGAGCTAAGTAGATCTAGCCTAAAAGGACAGAGGGAGTGTTTGCGTTTCCCTCATGTTTACCAAGGGACTGGTCACACAGGGACAGTGAAGAGCAGCTTCTGACTCGATCCAGTGCTAGAATGGAAAATAGTCTCTTCAATAGACTTCAATAGTTTACTTCAATAGAAAAAAAGAATTTTCCCAAACACACACACACACACAC